TTTTGATATGATATGCCCCCCGGAAGCATTTTTCAAAAACAGATTTAGTGGTGGTGGCATTTTATAGTTCTTTCATCTCAGAATGTTTCTATTTCTTTTCTTTCTTTCTTTAGTCCATAAAGGGCATTTTTTGTGCATTTAAATTGAAAGTATTTGCCAGACCTTGTGGCACTTGCCAGTAATCCCAGTGACTGAGGAGGCTGAGACAGGAGGATGGCAGGTTCAGGGCAGCCTGAGTAAGTTAATGAGACCCTCAACAACTTAGTGAATCTCTGTCTCCAAAAAAGAACTGGGAATGTAGCTCTGTGGTTGAGTGCCTATGATTTCAATCTCAACAACAACAACAACAAAAGCATTATTTTTCTTTCAGTATTTAAAATTTGTCTTAATTCCTTCTGACTTTCATTATTTTTGATGAGTAATCTATAGTAATTAAAATATTGTTTTTCTATATGTAATATGATTTTTATTTCTGTCTGTTTATTTTAAGACCTTTATTTTTAACTTTAATAGATTATGACATGTCTGCAGATTCTAAATCTAGAATGGATCGATTAGGTCACATCTCATAATCTAATCATTTCACCTCTGAATATTCCTGTATTAACAGGAGCTTTTATGGGATAGATCATATCAAAACCAGAACACATTTGCGGGAACAATGGCTTACATCTATAATCTCAGTGGCTTGGGAGGCTCAGGCAGGAGGATCACAAGTTTAAAGCAGCCTCAGCAACTTAGTGAGGCCTTAAGCAACTTAGCAAGATCTTGTCTCCAAAAATAACAACAGCAGCAATAACACATTTGTTTCAAAAGTGTTTCCTTTCTCTTTTTGTAGTATGGGTATATATACTGACTTGAAGTTTTTCTCTGATAATTCTATCATTTTGGTTTTCTTGTGGTGGCATCTTTTTAAAAATTCTAAAAATTTGTTCTAATTAGTTATTTTGTGGTGGCATCTTTTGTCTGTCTTCTTGAGAGCTGGTTAGGTTGTTCTCATTGTATGTTTAATTTTGAGTTGTTGCCTTGATATTGTGTTAAGAGATTCTGAGTCCTGTGTCAAACCTCTGCTCGGTACCATTCCAGTTGGTCTGTATGTGCTAACTAGGGATCATTCTTTTTTTTTTTTTTTTGGTCCAGGGTATTGAACTTAGAGGCACTTGACCACTGAGCCACATCCTCAGCCCTATTTTGTATTTTATTTAGAGACAGAGACTAACTTAGTTGTTTAAGGCTTTGCTAAGTTGCTGATTCTGGCTTTGAACACGCGATCCTTCTGTCTCAGCCTCTTGAGTGACTGGGATTACAGGCATGCGCCACCGTACCCGGCCCAGGGATCATTGTTGATATTCAGGTTTCACTGGAATTCAGGTTTCCCTGCAATCTTTATAACTATTTCTGCAGAGCACATATTGTGTATAGTTATTATGTATTTTGTCTTCTTTAATTTGAGAAGACTTCTCTGCCTTTTTTGATGTTTTCTTATCTTGACCTTTTGGAAGACTAAGACAGTTATTTTATAGAATATGGAATTTGGTTTTACCTGGTTTTCATCATAATTGAGTCTGCTTTTGCATTTTTAGAAGAACTGTCACAGAAACAATATTGTGTCCTTATTTCTTCATATAACGAAGTACATGATATTAGTTTGTGCCAATATTAGTGATGTTAACCTGGATCGCTTGTTTAAGGTGGTGTCTAGCAGGATTCTTTGCTATAAAGCTGTTTCTTCTTTGTAATTTTCGAGTAATTTTCATAGAGATTTTGAAGCCAAATAAATATCCTGTTCATTTTCAGACTTTCCTCCACTAGTTTTAGCATTCCTTGATGATTCTTGCCTGAGGTGGTTATTACTGTCATGATTATAAAATAATTATCTTTCTAACTCTGTCATTCATTTTATGTTTATTGGGAAGCATTCCACTGTAAGGAAGAGTTTTTTCTTCTCTTTGTTTATTTTTTCATTATATTAGTATGTATTCAAGGGTTCTTACTTAGTCAATGGTTTATAATCTTTTACTATCTTCATGTATTTTGATGTCCCAGCTATTTTTGACTTAGCCAGTGAAAGCCCATTTGACCTGTATTTTTATCTTTTTAATATATCTCCATCACTTCTGCAGTGCTTTCTTATTTTTTGACACAATAACATGTTCCATGTTCCTCTGTCCTTTTCCTATCCTGGCCCTGTAAGTAGTAATTTCTCTAGGTTCCTTTTATTACGGAATGATTTTTAAAATCCAGGATTTCTGTGCTAGTTTTGCTAGAGTGTATTGTTTTTAGTAATTTTCAGTGTATAGAGCTCAAGAATAACAGATACACACAACTATATTTATTCAAATCTACTTATTAAAAATCAAGAATTCGTATCATCCCGAGTTTCAAACATATTCCACACAATCATGAGAAACCTTACTCACATTATCCTCAATGTATTTGTTCATTGGCTTAATTCTTTGCTATTTTGAAAGCAGTTTCATCATTAATGCATACCGTTACAGAAAAGAAACAAATGTGCTAACTGGAATTCACTATTTATTTACAATCCTTTGGGTCTCAGACTGAGACTATTTTCTAGGTTTGTTGGGCTACTATACATAACTACCACAAACATGGTAATTTTAATAAATAAGAAATCTGTACTTTAAGTTCTGTAGTGCAGAAGTCAGAAATCGAGGTATTGGCAGGGTCACACTTCCTCCAGTGATTCTTAATGGGGAGGGGAGTTCGTTTCTTCTTTCAGCTGTTGATTCCTAATGTTTCTTGGCTTATGGGTACATAACTCCAGTCTCTGCTTTACATAGTGTTCTTTTTGTGTCTTGTCTTCTCTTTCCTATAAGGATATACATCATTGGATTTAGATAACTCACCTAGAGATTCCTACTTATGTCTGAAGATACTTTTTTCAAAACAGGTTACATTCACAAGTTCCGTGGACTAGGATATGGACATATCTTTTTTGGGGTCGCCATTCAGCTCACTACAGGGTATATAGTTACTTACTATCTTCTGTTTAGTCTTTTGATCTATGTTTTGCTTATCTGAAATACAGTAAGATTCATTTTTTCTGTTTATGCTAAATTTTAGGGTTCCCCATCTATATTGGATCATGAATATGTAGAATTTTTAACATCCTTTAACAAACAATAAATGAATAAAGAGTTACAAATCATGCTAGCTATTATTAAGGAAATGGACAGGTGTTTGGGAAAGAACAATGAGATGCACCATGTTTACTTAAATTGAGAGCCAGGTAATACTTACTTGAATCACTGACCTGTAAACTGAGATTGGAAGAATGAGAAGGAACTATTAGGAGAAAGGGGTAAATAAAAGTTCTAGTAGATGAAAAAGCATGTATCTGATATGGGAAAAGAGGGCAGTGGGTGGTACATTTTGGGCAGGAATGGACACAACATAAGTGAATTTACAAGGAAACCAGGGGCTAGGAAATGTAATTTGTTTAAACTGTAGAGATTAAAAAACCAGCAAAGGTTATAGGCAGAAGAGTGTCACGTTTATAGTTATATTTTTTTAACGGGGATTGTAGTGATTGCTATGTGAAACAGAATGTTAAGGTAAAAGTAGAGAGAGTAGTAGTGACAAATCTATCTGTTCCAGTATACAATAACTGATTTAGAACCATGAGATAATGTTGAGTCATAGACAAATGATAGTGGTGAAAAAGAGAAAAGTGGATAGATTTGAGATACATTTTGGATAGAATTGGCAAGACTAGCTTTTGGATTGAATCCAGTTGGGTAGAAAATTTTAGAATTAGGGTTATGGAAGTATTCAAAGTTGACTTCCAAGTTTTTTGCTTGAGAACCTGGAAAAAAAATTGGAAATGATTTAGACAGTAAGAATCAAGATCTCCTTATTATGTTTGAGATGCTTTTATTATGCAGGTGGAAATGTTAAGTAGATGCTTGGATATGCAGGTCTTAAGTGGGAAATGGGATCTTAAACTTCCTAACTGTCCTTGTGGGCGTTGCTTTAATTTTATGCCTTCCTATTGCAGACCAAGATTCTCTACCTTTGTGATATCTCCCCATTTATACCCTGTAAACTTGAGCAGAATGGCAGGACTCGGCCAAATACAATTTGAGGCATTGGGCAACATGGACTAGAGATGATCTCTAGGCCCACATATTATTCCAGTTCATTCTTTCTAGTACCATTATTTTTCCTGTAAACTAATTTTAATATATAATTTTGCTGTTTTAAGCATAGCTTTATTTTGGACATTGTCAGAGTAAGGGGCACTGCCACTATTACACTAAAAAGTATTAGGCTTTTTGTGTCCCATCTGAACCTGACTTTTAACCATAGGACACCATTCTAGTGAATTTTGTTCCCTGGGACTGGTAGGGGTGGGTATGTGTATGTGTATGTTTTATTTTTATAGAATATTTAATCTGTACTCTGTGGTTGATTTGGAGTATCTATCAATTTTTATTCCAGCTTCATAATTCTAGTATTTTTATGTTATATATTTTGTAGAATTAATTTTCCAAAATCATTTTACATGTTTTTTTCATTTTCCATAATTACTGTTACAGATATATTATAGACAAGATTATGGGCACAATTTGTTGTGCTTATTTGTAAATGCTTTCTATTATTCTTAATTATTTTTCATTGTAGAAAAGAATCATGATCTTTAAAGAAGGGCCAATCTGTCCTTCTTATTATGTTTTTTTCCCCCTAACAAGAGTGTATTATTATTCTCTTAATTTCCCACGTTATTAAGTACCTGTTGCAAGAAAGCATTGTGCTAATTTTGAGAGTTGGCAGGGGGTATACACAATTGGATTAACAAAATGAAAAAAGCAAAACATGTTATGAGATAAAATTGGGATAAAATAGTAGAAGCTTATAATTAAAATAATATGTTTTTGAGAAGTAAAGAGTTTTTAATGTGAGATATCAGTTTCTCATCAATTTATTGTTTACCTTTTTAAAACATATTTTATTCCCTTTGTCTTTATTTTTCCAAGGGTCACACAGCAATGCTTCATACTGGCTCATGGCATCCCAAAATAAAGGGAGAATTTATGACTTGCTCAAATGATGCGTGAGTATTGTTGATAATTTATCTAATTCAGTATTTTTCAACAGTAAAAGAAACAGTATAAGGAATCCTGATATTTATATATTTTTATTCTTAACTTTGGTTTTAGCTTTGGTTTTAGTATAAGGTTTAATTAAATAAATATGAACACTATGAAAATGAGAGTTGATATGAATCCCAGTAGAATTTTATCACAGAACATAAAGGATCAGATTTATATAATTAAATAACTTTGAAACTGTAGTAATAATTTTTTGCTTCTTACAGTAAAGATTTATCTATGGGCTGGGATTGTGGCTTAGTAGTAGAGTGCTCACCTAGCACATGCCAGGCCCTGGGTTTGATTCTCAGCACCACATAGAAATAAATAAATAAAATAAAGATATTGTGTCCAACAACCACTAAAAAATAAAAAATAAAAAAAGGTTTATCTATCTGAAATGATACTAAGTTGGGCTTTTTTCAACCATAATTCTATGTGAGATCAGTGAACTTTTAACCATACACTTCCATTACACACACACACATACACATACACACACAACCACCTTTTAATGAAAAATGACAGTAATAAATTAGGGTGATTTTTAGTTTGATTTATCTTTTTCTGACCTTTTGTCTCTGAGAAAAGTAATTAACTGAGAGTTAAGCTCTGGAAGATCAGTCAGATACTTGGTTCATTCACCATGTATAGTATGTTCATTGTGTGCAAGTACACTGTCAGTGAAGTTTCTGACTACATGGAAGTGAGTGCTAGAAGACAGAGAAGGTATAGAGACACCAAAAAAATCAATAATACAGTATTTTTTTTAAAATTTCAAACTTTTCTTTTAAAAATGTTTTTGGAAGTACATTATAGTTCTACATAATTGTGGGTTTTATTTTGACATAATCATATATGCATGGAATATAATTTGCTCCATTTCAGTCCCTAATACTACTTCCTTTTCTCCCCTCAGTTTTTTTCTCTGTTCTCATTCTTCTACTCCATTGATCTGCTTTCTATGTTAATGGTATTCCCCCCCACACATTTTTTTCCTCCTTATGTTGCTGTAGCTTCTGTATATGACCTTTGACTTTCTGAGTCTGGCTTATTTCACTTAGCATGATGTTCTCCAATTCCATCCATTTATCAACAAATGCCATAATTTCATTCTTCTTTATGGCTGAATAATACTCCATCGTGTTTATGTACCAAATTTTCTTTATGTATTCAACTGTTGCCAGGTATCTGGACCGGTTCTATAAGTTGTCTTCAGTGAATTGCACTGCTATAAACATTGATGTACCTGTATCACCATAGTATGCTGGTTTTAGTTCTTTTGGATAAATATCAAGGAGTGGGATAGCTGGGCTATGTGGTCATTCTATTTCTGCTCTTTTGAGGAATCTCCATACTGCTTTCCAGGGTGGTTGTATTAATTTACAGTCTTACCAACAATGTATGAGTCCTTTTTCCCACATTCTCACCAGCATTTATTATTATTTATATTCTCCGAGATTGCCATTCTAACTGGAGTGAGATGAAATCTCAATGTAATTTAGATTTGTGTTTCTCTGATTGCTAGAGATGTTGAACATTTTTTTTTTAATATTTGTTGGCCATTTGTATTTCCTCTTTTGAGAAGTGTATGTTTAGTTCATTTGCCCATTTATTGTTTGGGTTATTTGGTGTGTGTGTGTGTATGTGTGTGTGTTAAGTTTTTTAAGTTCTTTATAAATTCTGGACATTAATCTCCTTGTCAGATGAGTAGGTGGCAAAGATTTTCTCCCATTCCATAGGCTGTCTCTTCAAATTTTTAACTGTTTTCTTTGCTGTACAGAAACTTTTTAATTTGATGCTGTCCCACTTCTTAATTCTTCATTTTGTTTCTTGAGTTTTAGGGGTCTTGTTAAGGAATTCAGTATCTGTGAGGGTCTTGGAGGGATGACCCCATTTTTTTTTTCCTTGGCGTTTGCAAATTTTTTGTTCCATTTCTTGGTTTTTGTTCCCTTTGGGTTTGTTTTTTTTGTGGAGGGTGAAAGACATTGGTCTAGTTTCATTCTTCTGCATATAGTTAAATGTAGTAATTAGTGTTAAGAATTCAGTTTAAGCAAAAGAATAGACCAAATAAGAGAAAAAGAACACATAGGACAGTGAAAGCTTCTGAGGAAGTCACCCTGGAGGTGAGACCTCAATCACGCCAAGGAGACCACCACAGGGAAAGAGCTTTCCAGGCCAAAGTGAAGCATATTTAGAAACCTTCAGATGAGAATGCAATGAAACATGTTTGTGGGAAAGAAATACCAGGGAAGTTGATTTTGGGGGGCTGTTGGGAAGGGTGAGAATGATAGGAAATGAGTTTGGAGAGGAAGGCAAGGACCAGTCATATAGGATGTTGTAGGTTAAACGAAAAAGGCTAGGATTTTTTTTTTTTTAAAGAGAGAGAGAGAGGGAGAGACACAATTTTAATATTTATTTTTTAGTTCTCGGCAGACACAACATCTTTGATTGTATGTGGTGCTGAGGATCATCGAACCCAGGCCGCACGCATGCCAGGCAAGTGCGCTACCGCTTGAGCCACATCCCCAGCCCCAAGGCTAGGGTTTTAATGTAATAATAAGAGAAGCCATTGAAGAATACCCAATCTTTTTCATAATATTGAAAATTTAATCAATAGGAATGGTCTCTCTACATTTTGTTAACATTTCTCAATGAATTACTACTGAGATAATAGCTAATAATAGTTAACATTCATTGAGTACTTCTATGAGCCAAAAGTGTTCAGTACACTTTATGTATGCTAAGCATTGTCCTATTTTTTCCTCATAGCAATGTGGTTTGTAGGCAGTAGTGTTATTGTGTATTCCAAATGAAGATCTGATTGTGACTTTTCCAAGGACATATGATTCTAAGTGGCTGAGCCAGAATGTAAATGTACTGTGAATGGCTGTACACAAGTTTGTGAGCGGTGATCACAAAGATGATGGTGATTGACTTATAGATACAGGTACTACAGGGCACAAATCACTTTTATATAAGGAATGGATATATCTTATAAAGAATACTCCGCAAAATGCTTCCTATCAGAGGACAGATTTCCTTTGCCTCAGAGTTCTCCTACAGAGCACTGCTGTGATGATACTTGCACATTACCTGATTTTGAGGAGGATCATGAAAAGAACTTGTGGTAGTGAGTGGGTCTTTATGCTCTCCAGGAAACTCTAATTGCTTTGAGAGGCATGGGGTTATTCTGGCTGTGCTGGAAGAATGACCTGATATAATTAGTAGTAAACAATATTTACAGGCCCATGGATGGTTCCATAGTTCCTCTTAGAACTTGGGAGTTGGTATGGGTTTCCCTGACACATTCCTAAGTAAAAACTAAACAAAGAGAACAGTGTGCTGCTTTAAATAAAAGGTCATTTTTTTTATCTCCAAGATCTCATTAGCATAAATGGGACTGGATATTATATTCCTGTTTCCAGATTTCTTTTTGGTTAGCTAAAAAGATAGCTTTTGTCAAGTTTTGTTATCTTTGTAGAGTTTGCTATTCTTTTCTAATTTTCTATAGTATCTCACTGTGAAATGTTTGTGCATTTTAAAGGTTTTAGTAAGGAGGAGAAAGTAGAAAATTGGCTTCTTCCACAGTCAGGGGAGAGAGGAAATAAAGATGAATAGCAATTAAAAAAATAAAGAAAAGAAAACAGGTAGTCACAGAGCAAGTGGATTTAGGATAGAGTGAAAGGAGGAACCACTAGCTGTGACCATTTGTGAAAAATGACTGAATAAGTCTTTGAGGGATTGGATTGTGTAACAGCTGGTAAAAAATAAGAACCAGAGACTTTTTAAAAGATCAAGAGCTGAGAGGATATAGCTCAGCAGTAGAGTGCTTGGCTCTCATGCACTCAGGTTTGATCTCCAGAATTGCCAAACTAACCAACCAACCAACCAACCAACCCACTAACCAACCAGAAAATCACAGTGAGACCTAATTTTTACTAGTCTTCCCTGGTCTGGGACAACGTCAAGCTGTACGTGTAGTATTAAAAACATTAGCTGGGCATGATGATGACCGCATGTAATCCAAACGACTCAAGAGGCTGAGGCAGGAGGATCACAAGTACAAAGCCAGCCTCAGCAACTTAGGGAGGCCCTAAGCAACTTAGGGAGACTCCCATCTCAAAATTAAAAAAAAAAAATAAAAAGGTCTGTGGATATGGCTCAGTGATTAGGTTACTCTGGGTTCATTCCTCAGTACAAACAAACAAACAAACAAACACCATTCACTGGCAATGATGACATGTAGGTAAAGAAAACAGAGAGGAAGGGTTGTCAATACTACTTGCTCAGAAGTTTCTGGGGAAATCTTCCCATGAGAGTTTGAAACATGTGTATCTGTAGGCCTAGGTTAGGCCCAGTAATGCCCTGTTAACCCACCCAGGAGCCCAGGCCTAGCACACCTCCATCTTGGGACACTGCAGCCATTGCCATAACCCTCCCCATGCAGTATCCTTCACCTTGGGACAACAGTCAGGGCCTAGAGGCAACTGCATCTCGGAATAGGCCGCTCAAAGCCATTGTAAGGCCTATTCTTTCAGCCCCATCTCTGAAAGTGGTTGCCTTCATCTTGGGATACCCTCCACTGCTGTCTTGAATTACCTGTGCTGTTGCCGCCACTACCTTTAGTTGCAGTAGCATCCATCATGGGACATTGGCTGGGGACTCGAAGCTCAGTACCAAAGTGAGGTACAGGTAATCTTCAGGGGCACTACAGGGTTATAGGGTAAAAACTGTAATACCTGAGATCTGCATTGCAAGATAGGAAGACACATAAGCAAAATGAAAAACAAGGGAAGAAAGTGCTCCAAACAAATCAAGATACAACAATAATAGAATCCATGGACAGCGCAGTTGATGAAATATCAGGAAAGGAGTTCAGAATGTACATAATTAAAATGATCTATAAATTAAAGAATGACCTAAGTGAGCAAATACAGGAAAAAGTTGATCACACCAACAA